CCCGCCCCTCCCCGCGAGGCCCGTCGCGTCGCGGGAGCGCCCTGCTGGCCACGCCCCCGCCGCGCTTCCGGCCGAGTTTTAGGGCCACGCCTCCTCCGCTCCCAAGTGCTGCGCTCGGCCCTGGGTCTCTTTCCATCCCACCCGGGAAGAAGTAGCGCAGAGGCCTCTGGGTAGTGATGTGCCTCTGTCTGACCTCTAGTGACCCTCCACAGCCTGGCTCAGCAAAGGGTTGCTCAAAACAAAAATGCCCCTCTTCACAAAGACTACCGTGCATCAGCCTGAAAAGTGGGTACACGCTCCTGGGTCTCCCTTCCTGTCACCCCTACAATACATACTAAGATAAAGCAGGAAGGCTCAGATGGCTCCCGCCTGTAATCCTAACTACTCAGGAGGCTGCGATCTGAGACTCAGGGTCCGAAGCCAGACCAGGCAGGAAAGTCCGGGAACTTTCAGTCTAAAAGATGGGCAACCTGCTTCTTCTTGGGTTTCCTTTCCTTATAAAGAAAAGGTCGCCAGACTAGGCTTCTACTGCTCACTTCTGGAAGCTGAACTAGCATTCCAGTTCCTGAGTCCGATCCCAGCACTACCTAAAAAGAAAAGCCACACCTGCAGGCCACGCAAACAAACACACAGACAGAAACGTGTAGGGTGATTTCCATCATTTCCTCCCACAATTTAAATCAGCATTTATTTATCTTTTTTAATTAGGGCAAGTTTTAAATACGATCTCTCCCTGTAATCCAATCTGGCCCCAGCCTGACCTCAAATGCAGGATCTTCCCTCCTCATCCTCCTTTGGGCTAAAATTACATGCTTTTACCACCATGCCCAGCTACTTTAAGTCATCTTAAAGTATTACATTGGAGAATGTTTTTTTTTTGGGGGGGGGGAGCCTGGGCGCTGTCCCTCAGCTCTTCAGCTCAAGGCTAGTGCTCAACCACTTGAGCCACAGTGCCACTTCCGGCTTTTTCTTTTTGCTTATGTGGTGCTGAGGAATCGAACCAGGGCCTCAGGCATGCAAGGCAAGCACTCTACCACTGAGCCACCTTCCCAGTCCCGGGGAATCTTAATAGAGAAAATATTTTTTCTTTGTTCTGTAGAGGCAGCCTTTGTGTGAAAAGATTTAGCTACTTTGAGTATTGTTCTGGGGTCCGTTCTACCATTGAAGCTCTAATAGTACTTTGGTGTAGGTTGGCCTTTTTTTTTCAACCAAATACTTATTTATACTTCACTTGAATAAACTGACATGATCAAAGCAGGTATTGGTTAAAATCCTTTTTCATTTTTCTGCTTTGATAAGCATGCATTCCAAAAAGTAATTTTGCATTTATCTTTGTACAGACTTCCTACTACGTGTAGATCGAGAGCTAGATATTGATTTGTTTTGTTTTGTTTGGTCTCCAGCAGTAGCAGGAGTTACATGTCATTAAAAACACTTCCATAAGCTAAAGAGGGAAGTGGCCATACACAACACAGATTTGTGTGTGTGTGTGTGTGTGTGTGTGTGTGTGTGTGTTTGTCCAGATATTGGGACTTAAACTCAGGCCTGGGTGCAGTCCCTGAGCTTTATTGTTCAAGGCTGGTGTTCTAATACTTGAGCTACAGGTCCACTTCCAGCTTTTTGTTGGTTAATTGGGAATAAGCGTCTCATACTTTCCCGCCCAGGCTGGCTTTAAACTGTGATTCTCAGATCTCAACCTCCTAAGTTACAAGGATCACAGGCATGATCCTAGCCTTGGCTTGGGTCTTTTGTGTGTGTGGGGGGGGGGGTTGAGCCTGATATGGATAAATACACAAAATCACAATCTGCTAACATACAAATCTGAACAGGTTCAGATCCACAGTAAAGTACAAATGAACAAACGCATTCACGATCACAATACGGTTTTATTAGTGATTCTACAGACAAGTGTTTTTCTTCACAAGAACCACAGCAAACAAAATTGCTATATTCTGTTACTTTTTATTTCAACTGTCTCCCAAACAGATCTTCATATTCAGGAAAAGGCAAAATTTTCATGAGTTTGAGAACTCTTGGATTGGGGATGTGTAGGGAGGTGTTTCATTCTGATGGAGTTATACCTCACCTCATGGTTCATCTTGCTTTACCAGTTTTGCCTGCCCTGTTCAGCACAGGGAAAATTGCAGAGTTCACTGGCTTTTTATGTTTTGGTTGATTCATATCCTGGTGACTAGGAAAAATTTTGCTTAAGGCAGTTGGCAGTGTTTAAAAGTGGTAATAAGAAAAAAAAATAACATTCCCATAATTCATAGTCCTACTTAGACAGGCCTGCTGCATGCTCAGCCTGAACACGAGGAGAATGCAAGTACAGGGGGACCATCCTAGCATGTTCCAGAAAATGTTTTTGGACTCTTACTTACTTTCTTTATTTAGCCAATTTAATAGTTTGACTTAAAAGTTGCAAGATCCTTGGGTGCATTGCTCTGCTGCCACAATAAATAATTTCTGATTTTTTTCCTCAACCATTCTGCCTATAGTTATTGAACATTTGCCAGAGCTACTCCAAAAATAATACCTGTATAAGAAAACTTGAGCACCTACATAATACTCTTTGGCAGATAGAAAGAAATAGTATCAAATTTTGATCTGTTAATTTCAAGAGATTTGGAAATGGAGGCAGAGACAGAGGAAAGCAGTAGGTTTCACGGCTAGGACAGGTGTTTATGAGAGACAAACCATTTTCATATAATATATGAAGGGCTCAAGTAGTACAAATTGAGAGACTCTTGAGTTCAAATCCTGGTCCCAGAAAAAAAAAGCTTTAAGAAAATGTATGCAAATAAAAAAATGTAAGTGGAATTACAGTGGAATCTCAGGGAAGTTGATGTATTAGTTTCCTCATTAGCTCTCTATCCTCTCTTAATTTCTCTCTCTCAATCTCTCTTCCTCTCTTCCTTTCTCCCCTTCTCTCTGTCTCTCAATCTCTCTCTTCCTTCTTTTTCAATCTCTTCTCTCTCTGCCCAACAAACCTCTCTGCTATTTAGTCAAAATGGCAAAATATGGCCAGCCTATATATC